TGGACTACAATATAATATCAGTGTAATCAGAATAAGATATTCTATTAAACACATATATAACATGTAGGGTGTTCTGTTTAAAAAAATATGATGTAGCCTTATATGTCAGAAAATTGATAGTGTTTTGTTTATACGTCACATGGAAAAAAACTTGGCTACTAACCCTACATTCTGTTTTTTTGTTTAGCTTGATATCTCTAAAACCAAAAATGTTACAGCCAATTAAAATGTTATCAAGATAAATTGAACGCACGGTATAAACTATTTTTTTTTATATTTGTTACCTTAGCAATTATTGGACACAGCTGTCAGTTGTGGCCATTTTTGTTGTGTCTTCTATAACTTTACATCCGTGGGCTTACTTCAGCAATGTCGCTGTTTCCTGTGAAACTATAAATTCTTTCTTTCTGGATGTTCGCTCTCTTTCTTCGTTAGCCAATTATAAACTTATTCCGAAGTAAAAACCATAGAAAGTTGTAAAAACGGTATATCGTTAGGCCATTTTTAAGAACATAAGGGGGGGGGGGACATTAGACTTGTTCCGGCAGACAGCAAACAACGCAAACACATTTTACAAAAAATATAACTCGGCTTTCAAAATTCCAAGACCTCAAACAATAAAATTATAAAAACAGAAGAAGAAGAATTTAAAAGAGTATAGAATTATAGAATTAATTAGAAGGTTAGTAGAGAGAGAAGCCCTTCATAAAAAAGGGAGAAAGGATAGGGCTTTGCATGATATGGGCTTACGTGAAACTGTATAAAACTATTTGTAATAATAATGGAACTGTTGCCAAATAAAGGAAAAATTCCGTTTCCAATATGTTAAAGAAAAACAGACCTATTTAAGTAACCATCTACATCAAAAATAATAGTTTTATGTATGTTCTATGTACAAACTAATTTTTTTATATTTATGAGCTACTCAACTATTGGACACTGCTGTTACATGTAGCGGTTTTTGTTGTGGCTTTTATATGTTTACATCCGTGGGTTCCCTCTAGCAATAGCGCTGTTTCTTGTGTAACTATAAAGTCTTTCTTTCTGGATGTTCGCTCTCTTTCTTTGTTAGCCAATCGCCTTTTGTGTTCTTAGATACCAGCCTTCTAGGAGTATTGTTTCTATGGTGACAACACTCAGCTAGAAGTAATCGTTACTAGATATTTACTGGTACGGCCTTTCGAACTAAAGTATAATTTTTGTTGTAACATTAGTTCGCTAACGCGCATCCTCAGTTCAACGCATGCGCAGAAACAAATTTGCCAGTTGTCTCATATTGTTGCGGTAGTGTATTGTATTGTTTACCCTTTTGAAGTAGGGAAGTATTCTTAGCATTACGATGTTTGTTGACTTCTAAATTAATTTAGAAAAGATTAGCTACTTTTTAGCTAAAATATTGTCCCAGCAAATCATTCAATTCCCGACCAATTTTGAATTACTCAGCAATCCGAGCAGGTTCAAGGCCTAAGTTCAAAACCGGTTAGGGACTCTGTGTTAGAAAAAACCTATGATCAATCATAGAAACCTAACCTAACAATATAATCTTAAAAAATATAATTGTGAATTTTGCCGCATACACATCAATAAAAATTCTTCGCGTTTCACTGCGCATCCCCGCCGCAGTAGCCGAGCGGAAAAATTCTTTTGTACTTCTTTTGCGCTCCGTTAAATTCAGGGTAACTCGATACCGTGCGGCAAAATTATAATAAAAGCGTAACAACTCCGCGATTCGCGCCGCCGGAATATCTGTCTCGAGATCTTTGAAAGTTCTTGCGGCGAAACAATAGAGACCGAGATGAAAACTGACGTGGCTTCCAAAAGGTAAGGCGACTGCGAAATATAAGAGCAGCAGATAAGAGCCGAAATCTGGAAGCATTACTAACTCGCATCGTCCCGGATTTCCAGCCGGGTTATTTTCTTATGCACTGGTGCAATTATATAGCTAAAGATGCTTCCAGGTAGTCATTTCTTCTTAAGACGAGGCAGCATTAATTTTAGAAGTGAATTCCTTGCTTAATTACTTACTTAATTAGCCTCGTGAAATGCAAACGAAACATTGATAAGATCGACGTTTATTGGAAGGAAGGACCGCAATGGTGTATTCGTTATACAGTGCAAAAAACGATTGATGGACATGTTCTACTTTCCTTTTATACAGGAAGGGCAAAAACAAAACAAAAAATTTTAAAATTAAACTTAATGAGTTTTTACTAAGTGACAAAATGGTGCTGGAAAGCTAATGGGATAGCTCCGATTAACTTTGGCAGTTCGGATTCATTAAAGCCGACGGCAAAAACCGGATTAAAAAGAATCGGGAGACCGTAATATGATTTTCTACGACGGAGATTCGATCCATGTATGCGAATGCGGGTTTGGCAAACAGCGTCTCTATGCGCCGTATCCCTTTTAGACGCCATTTAGATGCAAAAAGAAATTTTCAGATGTTCATTTGCGTTTAATTGGTCGATTTGCGATAGAGCGTTCTAAATTTGGGGAGTTTTTGAAAACGAAAGAGAAAATCTGCACTAAAGTGGCCTGTAAAAGTATGATAATTATGTTTCATAATGGCGGATTCAAATAGAACACTGGATTTGAAAGGGTTACTATTGTTGTTTTCTATTGTTGGCAGCATCTTGATACATGTCGTCATTGAGTTTTTGTCTAGTCAAGGAATTTAGTAGTAAAGCCATCCGACCACGGAAAACGGCAGCAAGTTTGTGAATGGATCTTGAAAATAGACTTTTGCGAGCGCCTAATTTTCAGCGACAAGGCGTATTTTCATCTCAATGGCTTTGTTAATAAGAAAAATTCAAAAACCTAAAAGTAATTCAAAAACGAGAAATGAATAGTTAAAGTCGCCGTTAATGGAGTCGTTGCCGTGTTCACTGATTTCCTATGACCTCAATTTTACTCGATCAAGTGACTTAGCTCCATGTGATTTTTTTTGCGGTTAACTTGGCGAAATCGATGTGCATGTGTATGATTCGGTAACAGAAATTAATTTTACAGCCCTTTAAAATGCAGCGTTATTTTTGAACGCTGAGACCGTGTGCAAGGAGCAAGGAAAGTCGAAACTTTTCGATCTTTTGAACCGTATTCTAATATGGCAAATAGAAAAATGCCAAATATAAAGTAATTCGACTTTCGAGTGCTTTCTAAAGTCGATTTAAGCGATTTTGCATAAATAAATACCAACCAGAAAGCTCAAAGATACCGCAATCAACCCCGAACGTCATAACTCCAAAATCCGGGGACAAAAATCTCGGTCCTAAGCTGGCTCTTCGTGGCTTTCAATTAAAATGCTAATTGGTCCTTTGGTACAACCAGCAGTTCCTTTCAAAATTTATTCGCCAGACGCACTGTTGTTTATCGATCCAGGAACATGACTACAACTCTTCCTGTTTGCGAATTCAGTGAAAACGCGTGTGGCAGTAAAACAGTTTTTTATTTATCATCAACCGGTATTTGTCTGGACCGACGATAATACAATAGGATTAGCATACGCAGCGGCGTTCTATTTATGAAGGGGAAAATCGGTACTTCATTTTCTACTGTTTTGAGTGCCGGGAAAATATCGTCGGATTTTTGTTGTTCGCGCGAATCCTGGGGAACTATTTGAGTAGAAATGGACAACACACAAAATGTTTTAATAAATCGTTAGAAAATTGGTTTCGAAAGGATGAACCCCATTTACCAAACACCTGCCACCATAATCACGTAACCAATAAAACATTTTAGAATTTCTCGACTGGTATGGTACTGACATTGAACCGTAAAACCCAAATTATCCCATTGGCCATAAGATATTACTAATTTGTTGCCTTTCAGAATACAGGGTGTTTGAATAAGAATAATGACCGGCTGTATCTCGAAAATGGTGCGGTCTCTAGAAGTTTGAAAAAATAAGTGAAAACTTGAAGGTTTGGCTAATATGCAAAAACAGGTAAATGGGACCTCCATCTGGACACGTAAGTTTACTTTAATATTTTTGCTGTAAATTTCTAAAATTTGATATCTAATTTATGGCAGCGTTCAATGAAGAGTTGCGTTTTCTGTTTTACCCAAAGTGTGAGCAACCTACAATGAAGTTAGGTAATAACTATTTAAGGTTAAAAAATTACTGCTAAGAGAATTATTTTAATGTTATTCGTATTGCTTTTGGCAGAACTTCACTGTTTAAATTAAAAAAATAGTTAAGAATTTATGACGTCACACTTAAATTTCCTCAAGGTTGGAATCAATTGACTAGTGCATAGCTCCTAATAAAAAAAAAACAGAAAAACAAATACACCACCACACACGTTCCATCTCCGGAGCCGAAAAACAAAGGAAGCTCGACCAGTACCGAAGTAAACAAGACGGAAACCTATAGCCCCCCCGAGTGATAATTATGTGCATATTTTATTTAGATTAAGCATTAGTCCCGGCTTTCATCTGATTAAGCGCTGCATGCTTTCTAGTGCGCCGAAACTTTCGAGCCGGCTTCGCAGGATTACGAGGGTCCGAAGGGTCTTGCGTTCCTGCCGTTTTCGTTTATTAAGTCTGTTGGCCGATCGCCACGTTTGGGAATTGTTTCACCGTTTAAGCTGTCCTCGAAAACAGTTCCGAAGTGCTCTCTTTAAATCTCTCGCTGTTTGTCTATAACACTCTCTTTCGGTCTTTCTAAACCATCTCCTCTCTTTTAAACCTCTTACTTTTTAAACCTCTCTCTTTCTCTCTAAATTTCTCTCTCTATCTCTCTGTTGAATTCAATTAGAGATTTAAAAAGTAGGAGGTCTAAAACAGCGAGATGTAAAATGGGAGAGAAATTTAAAGAGTGCGGCTGACTCCTATTCCTGTGATAGGAGTGAACACTAGTGATCAGGGTTCCGGAACCAGCCCAGACTATCTACTTCGCTCGAATGAACAAACACAAATTCGATAGTTTACGGGAGGGACACAACAAAAATTTTCGCGTTGTATATAAATAAAACTATAATTTATTGATTATACAGCGACACGTTTCATTATTAGGAACAAAACATCTCCATTTATTTACGTTACATTTGTATATCATTGATTTTAATTCGCTAATTATTCGGTATTGTCACAAATTTTATACATCGAAATATCATCAGCGGTCACGAATAGCGGGAAAAGAATCGATTTAAAGGCCGGTTTACCTTCGCAACAATAAAGTCCACCGTTTACCACTCGCGGTCACAACTAGAGAAAGTTTTTTCTTTGGGGGCGACGGCGTTCTCCAAGAGCTGGTTCCACCATCACCCAGGGATGGCTTGAAAATATAATTTTCTGAAACAATAGAGATTTAATGTAATTTACCATGTTTTTTAAATGATTGACTTGCAAACGGCTCCTTTTCATTAACGCCACCCCAAAAATATCTGTTTCCGGGTCGATAGAGCCTAACGCACCCGCAATTATTTTTGACTTAAAAATACTAGGATTCATAATGATTCATAGAAATATGTTCGTAAATCTTGCGGAGTTATTAAACGTCCAGTACGACTAAACTCAAGTGTCGTGCATAGGCGTGAGTTGATCAATATTTCGGGTAGGTAATGAATATAAATATATTACTTTACTGTGTGCTACTAACATATAATATACTGTCCATAGTAACAATCATTCCAATAAAAGGAAGCTGTAATAACTCTCCCTCGACAGTAAACAAAAAATTAGGCGCGATCATCCTAGTTTTGCAATACAAGAAAATGTTAAAATGAGTGCAGTTGGATGTTCACTGAATTTAAGTTATTGCAGGGAAGAATATATTGGTTTTGAAAAAAAAAACCTAATAAAGGAATAACTATTCGGTTCCGTGAATTTGAACGATGTGAAATATTGTTATCCTATGCACCCGAATTTCAAATTAAATCCAAATGAAATCATACTGGTCCAAATGAAAGTCTCGCTAGAGGAAACACGAAAATAAAATTCGACCAAGCCATTATGGATGTTTCACCACAGGACCGGCTAAATCATATCAAATCAAATAGAAGACTTAGATGAGTATAAGGTATTTGTCAAGAACGTTTATTCATGGTTTGACACCCACCTACAGACATTATTGGGCTAGGGCCGGCCCTGCCTGTGAGCGAACATCTCGACTATACGCAGGAAACGGAGCGCGATCATCAAGCGGAGCACCTCGTCTTGGTCAGTCAGTCGAAAAGAGAAGCCGCGAAGTGCGGAACTATATAAATACTCAGCGGATATTAGCACAGTGTAAATAGTTAGTGACTATTATTTTAGGAGACATACATTTACAGTTAAGTTAACTTTTTGCCGAAGTGACTTCTTAATTTTACAGTCACGTTTGATGACGCAGAATGAATTTTGGCGATCTAAAAACGTAACAACATAAAATACCGCACATGCAAAAGTTATGGGGTTTATTCAAATTTATTGAAATTAATCCTGGCGATTAAGAATAAACCAGATTTTCCTTAATAACTCAACGTAGATAATTGATAATAAAATATTCTTTCTTTGTTTGTTTCATGTTTATCATTTTAATTAGTCAAGCAAATTAAAGTAGACTGCGTGTGTGAAATGGCAAAGTCCCTCCCTGCTGCCCCAAAAACTTCGTCAAAGTAACGATTTCCCTTTGCGTTCGCGAACGTCTTAAACGGAAGTAATCTTCTTCAAATATCACCCCCCCTCCCGTCCCGGTTCCACCAGTCGCAACGGAAAACGCAATTCGCAGACGAGCCAAAATCCAACCGGCAAAATTCCTGTCGAACTTTGGATACGGTACGTAATAAAACCCCGCTTCCAAAAGTTTTCTAATCTGAACCGCATAAACTTTAAAATTTCAGTAATTGTTTAAGTTGGCTCATACGGCCGTTCCCACCAAAATTTTCAGGGACCACCTAACCCACCTAAGGGACATACAAACTTAGATTAAGTAAGCGTTTTACGTTTGCTAGATCACTAAAGTGGACCCTAAGCCACTAAATTGAGGTGAGGTGTGCGAAAACAGTTTATGGCATGCGAGTATCTCGAATTATTGAAACAATGCAAAAAGTGAAGTACACCATTTTAAATTTCATCATTAATTCTCAGTCATAAAAAGTATAAAAAGGAATCTAGAGAAAAAATGTATGACACATTTCGTCGCAAGAATTGAGGTGCAATCTTCTTAGCTTTATTGCATGATTCTTTTGATATCATCATGTTTCGTATCTTGTTATTAACATCCGTGACATCCGTTTCTTCATTTCTCCCTTGAAGTTTTATTAACTTATGATTGAAAGTATTGATAACCGTTCCACATTAGAATAGTGAACGTATTAACTCACTTTTGTAGCAACTTCTTTTCATACTTCTGTAGTTCCAAATATTGTGTGCGAAATATTATTGTATTTGTTTACAATAAATAAAATAAAAACAAGACATTTTAAAAATTCAATTCTCAAAAAGTATATGAAAGGTCTACCGAACCGAAAATATGTTCTATCCGGCTGCAATAAAAGTTGCATTTGGAAATAGACCGTGCAGACTAAAATTTGGTACGTTGTCGTTGTGTACCTCTCCCAACCTAGGAAAAACCGAAAACTTCGAGGGAACAAAAAACTTAAATTTAGATGTAAAATTAGTTATGCATAATCATTTCAACTTTAGGAGCTGGTTGGTGGGATTGAGTATAGCAAGAAGAGGTACTAAATGTCACAATAAAATTGAAATGACACCCTTACCCTTGATATTTGGGGACATTGTGTACATTTAAAAAAAGACATGGGGTGTTTTTCCAAAGCCTTTGGACGTTCTCTAAGGGCGGCACCCGCCGCTCGTAAATTACAGCACCGAACATGAATACGCGCGACGTCGCCCCCAAAAGACTCCACAATTATTGAAAAATGTCCGTGGGGCCCGCGTGAAAATACCGCCCCAGTTTAACTCATTCGTTGCGAGTTTCGATCCTGTTCCACAGTATACGCGAGAATATATGGGCATGGCGGCCCCTGAGTTTCTTTCAATCCCAGTTTTCTGACTCATATTATACCCAAAACGTTGTTTATTAGCATTTTTTTTGCAGAAAAAACCTCTGTGCCAAATTTTATGTGCAATTTTGAATTATGGTGTAACCGCCATAACTCCTATCATCTTTAACAGTGTAAATAATATTATATTTTGTGCTTGGTGCCGCACACAAAATTAATTCTGAGTCTAAAAACTATTATCAAATAATGTAAAATCGAAAAGGCAACTGCGAAAAGCTTTATTACGCAATCTCGATTCCCTAAAATCATTTCGTTGGCTAAACAAATTTGTTGGGTTAAACCCTATTACTGCTTTACCGAAAGAAGATAAATACCCACTTAGTGTTCCCGTAGCAAACTACACGAGAGGTTCGAATTTTAAACCGGCAAATCTGGGACTACTTTTAATGGGCTTTTTGTTTAATCGTGACCCGATCTGTTCCGAGAATCGACGGTTTTATCGAAAGTTTAATACCGACTCTTTTTTGGGGGAATATTAAAATGATTATTTCCAATTCTTTATATCAAATAACATTAATTACACAAAATGAATCTCTATAACCCATAACTCAAATATGCGAAACACATAGGTGGGGATACAACCTACCAAACCGCTCACCTACTTACATTTACACGTGGAGTAAGTTTCACGTATTCTCCTGGCCATCGAAGACGATTCTTCTGCAGGTACCCTCGCTGGGAGTCGGTCCAGGTTGTTGACAACTCAGCCCAGGCTCGCAGGTACCGCTGAATCCTAGGTCACCCCCGCAAGGCTCCCCTTCCGTGCGCGCGCATTCCTGACAACATCTGCGAATAAACGGAAAAGGAAACGTTATTTTGAGTATTACAAAGTTCGCCTAGCTTTCAAAGACATTAAAGCACACACAATATCCGTAATGTATGTTTATAGGCATAAATCACAGATCATTTTCTTCTTCTTCGTCCACTATTTCCATGCGATTGGCCAATTAACTAGAGACATTCGCCTATTACCGACTCCAGTAGAGGATACTTTTTCTTTCTTGTTCAATGGCAAATAACATTTAATGTAATGAACCAATAATTTTTTTAAATAACCTATTTTTTTAAAATAGTAAGAATAAAATAAAAAAAACGGACACTTTTTTGCAATATATTTAAACTAAAATGTAGAAAAACTTAGTAGCTAGCAGCTATATTTATAAAAATATAATATTAAATAGAAAACTTTGGTTCTGTGCATCGGTACGATCTAATAGTGTGTACATTCATAGCTAGTTAATGGTTATGCCGAGTTATTGATGGAAGACAATCAATTTACAAATGGAGAAAAAGTTGATATGCTTCAGATATACGAGGAATGCAAAGAAGCTCCATTAAAAAATTAGTCAGAGTCACCTAGATACAATATAAAAAAACAAAAATGTGCAGCAATAAAGCATTATTCGTGGTTCTGTCACCAGTTTTTGTATTCTGTGGTTTGTGTGATGCAAGATAAAACATCCTACGATGAAAACCATTTTTATCGTATTTAAAGTGTAATATGGAAGCCGGAATCGTGTAAAGGGCAGAAGTATTATTAAATACAAGACATCATTGGGTCTACTGCAGACACCGATATTTAAAGGATAAATTAATATATTGTATAGAAGGCCAAGTAACCATAAATCGTGTTGCTTGCAGTTGTAAAGCTGTAACTATTTTGCTAAAGTGTGTTAGGTATGTTTAAAAATAAAATTTTCTTAGTTTGGAACCCGGTAAACCTTTTCTTTAACTCAAACGAACTGTTTTTCTAATCAATATCAACATAAAGTCTTACAACGCAAACACGATTATTATAACATGTCATGTTATAATAATGCATATAGGTTACTTTGAGTTTGATATACCTAATAATATATTTTAATTTCGGAAATGCCTAATTTCAAATCGTTACTGCAACCCGTTTAAAAGTGTGTGTTTCTTGTGTCACCAGGTATAAACGGGACCTCTTTCGCGGTACGGAAAGATCGCTCACGCAGAAGACACAATTCATAAAGAAAATTTAATTTCTGCTTCTCAGGAGATAAAAATGTCTCGGGAAAAACCCCCGGCCGCACGTAAAAAAATTCAATTAATTACGGGAGTCGGGTGAGAAGAAGAGGGGGGGGGGGTCTTTCAACAAGAAATACCATTAACTCCAATCCGCTAAGTAGCCATTACGGACCTCGTTTTGGTTCGGCCCACTATTCTTAGATTATTGTGTTCGGTGCAAAGTTGGTCCCGGGCAACGCGATTTGTTTTATAAAATCAATTTTTATCGATACCGCGGTGTTGGTTATAGGAATCCGGGACGAATTCCCCTAGCGGGGGATTAATAATCGGCCAGGAGGCGGTTTCCGGCAACTTTTCCGGCTTGTTACGGCCCCGTCCGCCCCCCTCTTAATAATGCCCATTAGCATAAATCTTACGGCGGGGGTTCAACGTGCCGCCGAGGCAGAGAACAAAGGAAAACGAGGGTTTACATAAAGGAGGATCTCACGCCGATTGTGTTTTTTTTGCCTCTTCGATCTTACAAAAGAGGGGGAGAAAGAACTTTTTTTCCTGTTCAGTAGGCGCTTTGTATTTTGTTTTCGTAAGCGCGCGAAAGCCGGAAAAATGGCAGCGTGCGGTTCGTTACTTTTGTGTTTTGGTCACGAATCGTTACTTTGATGTTAAGTAATATTTATAATTAAAAATAAACATTACTATGCTATAAAGTCACTTGATTACGAGAATGAAAGAGCCTCAACTTATTTAACTTAATTTATACTACTTTTATTCGTTGGAAATCTGGAAAGTGAAAAACACATTGGAAAAAAAGTACGTTTGTAGTTCGAACATTTTCAAACTTTTTATTTTATTTAGTCGTCGATTTTGGGAGTGCCGTGATCCACAATTTTTGATATAAAGGAAAATAGGGAGCAAATAACACACTTTTTGCCAAATCATGTCAAGGGACAGGTGTGTGAAAAATGCATAGCTGATCTAGATTTCAGGCAAAAGGCAAGTGATCAGAAATTCCGAAATTACTGAAGTTCTTTTTCTTCAGATCTTTTAAGAGCAAAAGCGAATCATTTTTATTTCTTGGAGTAATTTTCTTAAGCTTCTACTTTTTAATATGAAAAAGTAAGTAGTTCCAGTGATCCGGCCACCATGATAATTCGGCATGATGTGTCCCGATTACTGAAATTGTACTGTATCTTATTAAAGCAAAATTGTATATTTCATAATATAATTTGAATCTTAAATTAATGACGGAAGTGTGAATAAACACATTCGAATTTATCCATCAGCATAATGATCTTGAAGACTCGTGAAGTTGAAGCTCTAAATTCAACGAACTTTAATAGTCGGTACAAGAAAATCCAAACTTTACATTAAAACATGTCAGTACTTAAAAAGGACTGGTTGAAGCAGACATCGCATAACTACGCCCGTGCTGTCTGTCTATTCGTCGACGCCCAGCTGAATCTGATGTGTGACCAAGAAACCCAGCGCGAGGACTAGCTTTGAATCCAGAACATCGTAGAGCAAAGTTAAATTTTGCTAGAGAAAACATCGATCGGGCTGATGAAAATCGGGAAAGAGTTCAAATAAAACCAGATTTTGTATTTCCAACTCAGATAGACGTTTCAGAGTTTATTGAAGACAAAAAGACAAAACAACAGATTATTTGGTGGAGGGTTATGTTTTGAAGAAGAATCTTGTTAATAATAATGGTAGGTGAAAATTTTTTGTCTCAGCAAGATAATTTTCGACCGCATGTTGCTCAGATTGTGCAAAATTATCTTAAACGAGATAAGACTCTTACGTCAGTTAATTATTTTTTACTAAAATAATTAATAATTAATAATAATTTTACGACTTTTTGAATTTTCTCGTTTTTCTTATTTACTTTTTTCTTATCTTCTTTTGGATTTTTTTTTATTAATACCCTTATTAAGTTAGAATAAGAATGTTCACATTAACAGCAGCATTAAATTGTTAGCAGATATTCTACATACACAAAATTGTCGCTATCAAAAATAGTCAAATTATATCAGAACCACCTAATTCTAATAGGGATAAACGTTTAAAATACCAAAACAGGTGTAAAAACTGAGAAATAATATAAAACAATCTCTGATTACGGTTACCCGTTAGTAGCCTTAACGTGTACTAGTGTTTATTTTTTATTTGTATTGCCTGGACTATCAAATTCTCAATCTCGCCTGAATCGAAATTAACCTAGGATTATTTCTTTTAATTTTTCAAAGAAACTTCCACAGGACTTCTTCAGAGTTTAACTGAAACTATTCTGGCCTCTACAACGTAACAAAAAAGTGTACAGAATAAGTAATCTTCAAGTTTCAGTAGGTGATCTTCAACTAAGAAACTTAACGTTACGCTCTGAACAAGCCAACAAGTTTGATTTATAAACAACCGACACAGGAGGCATCCAGAAGATTTGTAAAAAGTATTTTTTTTTCTTTCGAAATTTTCAACTGTGATAATTAGGATAGGATCCATTCTAGTTTGGATAGAGCTCACTATAATAACATCGCCATGTTTAAAAGTTTATATGGGGCACAGACTATAACACTAATGTAAACACTGCGGTCGTTCCTTATACGCAAGCGCGAAGCTTGAACGAAATAACTTGAGTGTACGAACGTAGACGCTATCGTCCTGTTTGACCAAGTTGGTTTTTATTGAACCGTTAGCCCGAAAATCTATCGTTAAAGTTTTCGTCCGATTAACGGAAAACATTTTTATCTATCGGAATTTAATTACGGACTCGTTCTAAACTTCTAAACGATAAAAACTCAATTTTTACACGTCACGTGTTCGCCATTAGATTCAAATTCATTTCAAATATGATTTATTTTCACGCATGCTATTAGAGTCTAAAAAAATGTTCGAGACGGACAGGATAAGTGACCTTTTTTTTTAAATTATGAATGCAGCATTGTCAGATCTACTCGAAATTAACGGTATATTACAGACACAGATCCTATACAAAATTCTAAGTATCATTTATTTACCTCTCTGCTTTTTAATAGACAATAATTTGATATTATTTTGTTGCTTCATTTATCCAGTTCCTGAAGCTTGTTCATTTCGTTATTTGCCTTTATTGCACTTTGAAGCAGTAATGTAAAAGTTGAAGAAGGCAAAATTGAGAGTAAAAGAAGTATAGGCAGAAAAAAGGAATTGTGGCTCAGAAACTTCAGAGACTGGACACACACCAATGGTAACACACTACTTCATCAAGCCTACAATATGAAAGACTTTGCCATATTGGTCGCTAACATCGCGAGAGAAGTCACATAGGAGGAGAATAACCACACAGAATGAATTACCGCTTCAGTATAAATTATTTAAAAAACTCAAATATTAGCAATTATATCGTGAAGTTAATATCTGGTAGTGTGAGCAAGTGTTTGCGTTATATGTTTTGAAAGGTTTTGTGGATGTCGTCTGATTAGTGTTAAATGCATTTTGACTATTGAGGGCTGCTATTCACGCCGGTATCGAGATCGGATAAGCCCGAATATCTAGTAGATCTGGAAGCCGATTTCAACACCTGCACCCAAGCCGGATGCACCCGGATGATGCTGTTATATGCTGTTAGATATATCAAGGAAGTCCTTGAAAGAATATTGTAAATTGGTCGTATTGCCTTAGTTAGCAGTAGCCTAATAAAACGTAAATGGAAAACACACACGCATATACAAAATAATATAGGAAACATGGGTTTTCAGGTCCCGCAGCAATAATAATGTAATGTCAACAATATACACGATTCGTTGTTTCGCTCCCTATTC